TGTTGTTCAGGGTAGATGCCTAGAAGTGGTATGACTGGGTCGTAAGGGAGGTCAATCTTTAGCTTTCTAAGGAGGGACTGTGATTTTTATGATCTCACCTCTTGAGTAGTTACAGGTATGAGCTGCTGGTACTCAACCCTTCTCTTTTCTTTATAATGTCTTTAATGTATCTCCTTTTGATTTTGAAGTTCTTTGGGTGACGTGTGAAGTTGTAGGTAACTTTTTTTGGTTGTGAGTTGATCATATAAAAAATTTAATACTTATAGAATTCACAAACTTTATAGACCATGATGAGACAATTTGCCTTATGAAGGTTAAAATGTGTTTGTGACTTTAACTAAGTATCACTATCCCACGATACTGTAAAATTTGTGAAATTTATGTAATCACTTAATCTCAATAAAAATTATTTAAACAATTTAATATGTATAGGTAGTTGGGTTTGAGATGGTTAATCGATGTGGTTGTTAGAATGCAAAAGACAAGGCAAGTCAGGATGGGAGGAGAAGGAAGACATTCTAAAATAAGTAAGTCTCCAGTGGAGTTGCAAGTGATTTTTTTTTTTTTAAATTTCACTTATTTTGTTTGTTTTGTTGGTTGATCTATTGAAACGGAGGCCCACTATATAGTTCAGACTGGCCTGGAATTGCAGATCTTTTTGCCTCTGGAGGGCTTGGGTTCCAGGTGTGTACCTCCATGCCCAGCTGTGAATCTTTTACTTCTTTAAAGGAATTTCATCTCTTCTGTCCATTCTTGAATACTTTGAAAACTTTGTTGAATTAGAATACGCATTTTATAAAAGAATATTCATTGGCTTATCTACTACTCTGTTTCTTTCCAAATGATCTCTAGAATTTACTGCCAACAAAACAGTCACTTTGTCAGCAATGTATGCATTGTCAGATACAAACTTTTAAGTTTGTATAGTTCCCATGAAGTGTTATTCATGGTTTTGCATTCAGCACTGTTAACTTCTTATACAAGTATCTCTTTTAGTAAAGTTGCTGATAGAATGAATTATAAAGACTTATCCACACCAGTCTGCCATGATTTTACCGTTACCTTTCAGTAGATCAAATTAAGGCCAACAGTTTCCTAGTCTTGAGAGTAACAATAAGTTATGAGAAGTTCATAGTAAGTTACAATCACTCAATATTAAGTGAACTTTAGTTTCTGGAAAAGAGATATAAATTAAATATTAAAAACTGAGAACTATACCAGCGGCAGTGGCTGGTGGTTGTAATTCTAGCTGCTCAGGAAACTGAGGTCTGTAGGATCAAGCATCCTGGGGAGAAAAGTGTATGAGACTCCATCTCCAATTAACCAACAAAATAATAGACTCAAGGTGTGGCTCAATAGTAGCGCATTAGCAATGAATATGAAAGCTGAGAGAGATGACTAGGCCCTAAGTGTAAGCCCTGGTACTAGCAAAAACAAACAAACAAATGTAAAAGCCAAACTACTTCCAGATACTTAGCCTCATAATGCTATGTGGTAGACATGTTCTCTCTGGACCCCATAATCTCATCTATAAAATGAGGACGATGCATCCATTCTTGGCTTTAAAATGGCTTTGAAAATGTAAATACTGAGTAACTGTAATATAGCAATTAGGGGGAAAGGTCTTTAAGTAGAAGGAAAAAAAGAACTTCAAGTTCGTGAGCCTCAAAAAGTTTTAGAGGGGCTGGGAAGGTGGCTCAGTGGTAGAGCGCTTGCCTTGCATGCCTGAGGCCCTGGGTTCAATTCCTCAGCACCACATAAGCAAAAAGAAAAAGCCGGAAGTGGCGCTGTGGCTCAAGTGGTAGAGCGCTAGCCTTGAGCTGAAGAGCTGAGGGACAGCGCCCAGAATCCAGAGTTCAGACCCCATGACCGGACCCAAAAAAAGTTTCAGAACCTGAATAGGGCAATGAGGTATTTCTGCTTTTGTATAGATAGCCACTGTTTCTTGAAGGCTTTGATGGCTGGTAGTACATATTTATTTAATCAACATTCTGTTTTCTTTTAGGAATGAAAAAATCTAGTTCTCTACAGAGTAAGATCCTTCAAAGGCCTCCCTTTGTAAGTAGAGGCCAGATTCCTTTTGCTACTACTCTGCCACCTGCTGACAGGTCAGATGACTTAGATTCTTCTTTTGTGACTGGCTATGAACAATCATCTAATTCTCCTATGTTCAACTTGTGTGAAGAGTCAGAAGTTCTTCCTTTTAGCTTTGGGCTTGAGGACCAAAGTGAAACTTTTTCCTCTGAAGTATTTAGGGAAATGCCTCCAGGAGATGTTTCAATGCTTGGTATTAAGTCTACTCAAAGCAAGTGGCTAAAATATCAAAACACACCCCAATGTGACTTGACTGCTCTAAACAGAGTTGAGAGAAAAGTAAAAGATGAGTTCTTTGCTGAGATGCTTTCTGGGATGCATTTTAGTGATCTGAGTGAAAGACAAGGTGATGCTATAAGTGAAAGCTCTGTAGATTCTGTGCATTTACAAATGATAAAAGGCATGCTCTATCAACACCAGGATCTTAGCAGTCAAGATTTGGTTTCTAGAAAGAAAGCACTTTCTTCAAATTTAAAGCAGACTTCCAAAACTGAGGAAATTCAAAATGTGTTAGGAAGGTCTGCCTGCTTCAGCTACAGTGTAACTGATTTACAGGTGAGGAAATGGCATCAGTCATTTGGGTGCATTGTTTCCAGTACTCGTCTCAATTTCAACAAAAGAATTAGCAAAATTATTGCAAGCAACTTCACCTTTGGTACATATGGTTTTTCTCGATCTAGAACTCTAGCCAGAGTCATCTCTGTTGACTTAAAAGCTTTCTTAATAATTGTGAACATTAAGTGAACTTATTACATATTTTAATGTCTGTGCTGCAGTATTTGGCCCATAATAAGTATTTAATAAATTCTACCTCTTAGTCCTAATTGCACCAGTACTATGCTTGTTTTTATTCTCAGCTATCTAGTCTTGCCAATTTGATTGTTACTATAGTAAAAGTAGTCTATTACGTGTTGATTTTGAGTCATTCTTCAAGTCAATAAAGGCATAATAATCCAATTGCATTAGTTAATTTTTTTTCTTAGCAAAAGTTACTGAAGAACTTATTAAGGGGAAGACAAGAAAAGTTAAATCTTATTTTGAGTTTCAAGTACCAGGTGACAGCTACCAGGTGTAGCTATTCTGGCTTTATCTTATTTCTCATTTACAATTAGGAAACAATTTTCATTAATTTTTAGGAATTAAGAGTAATATTATATGTTTGCTTAAATATATGTAAGGAAAGTACTGATTGGTAAAGAGTTTTTTTTGGTTGTTTGTTTTATTTTGTTTTTTAACCTTTAGAATAACTTGAATCTTTCCATTTCAGGAGATAAATGGCTCTGAGCTATGCTTCCCAAGTAGGCAGAAAATAAAATCTGCTTTCCTTCCTCAAAGGCAGATTCACATACCAGCTGTTTTTCAGTCTCCCATACATTATAAGCAGACCTTTACATCTTGCATCATAGGTATGAATTGACACATTTCAAAACTGTGATTATTGATTTGATATAATATAATTCTGAGAAAGTATATCTTACGGATTTTTGTAGTAAATTTTCCACCTGAGATTTGTTATTTTGTATAATCTTGCTTCAGTTTTTGACAGTAGCTATTATTCTAACTTTAGATCAGAATTGAGTTTCTGAAATAGGGTAATGGTATGCTGGAGGAGTAATTGGTAGAAGGTTTGCCTAGCAAGCACAAAGCTCTGAGTTCAGATTTCTAGCACCATCAAAAAAGAAAAAGTGAAAACTATCAATACCATATTTTTTATTTGTTTTTATTTTATTTTATTTTATTTATTTATTTTTTTGGGTCCGGTCGTGGGGCCTGAACTCTGGGCCTGGGCGCTGTCCCTCAGCTCTTCAGCTCAAGGCTAGCACTCTACCACTTGAGCCACAGCGCCACTTCCAGCTTTTTCTTTTCTGCTTATGTGGTGCTGAGGAATCGAACCCAGGGCCTCATGCATGCAAGACAAGCACTCTACCACTGAGCCACCTTCCCAGCCCCATATTTTTTATTTGTGTGTGTGTGTGTGTGCACGTGTGTGTGTGTGTGTATGTGCGCGTGTGTGCGTGTGTGCGCGTGTGTGTGTGTGTGTGCGCGCGCGTGTGTGCGTGTGTGTGTGCGTGTGTGTGCGTGTGTGTGTGTGCGTGTGTGTGTGAGAGAGAGAGGAGAGAGACAGAGAAAGAGAGAGAAAGAGAGAGAGAGAGAGAGAGAGAGATGGTAGTTGTGGAGCTTCTGTCCCTGGGTTCTTCCCTGAGCTTTTTTGCTCAAGGTTAGTACTCTATCCATCTGAGCCACAGCTCCATTTCTGGTTTTCTGGTGGTTAATTGGAGATAAGACTCTCATGGGCTTTCCTACCCCAGCTGGCTTCTAACTGATTTTCAGATCTTAGCCTCCTGAGTAGTTCAATTACAGGCGTGAGTTTATATTCTTTAAAAAATTATCTTTAAGTAGTTGTACAAAGGAGTTTCAAGTCAACATGTCACTTTATGAGTATAATATATCTAGACCAACGTCACCCCTTTCATCATTTTCCCCAGTAATACTGTCTTTATAGGTCTTACAGGTTTTAAAAGTTGTTTTTTTTTTTAAATTAGAGACAAATGCCTTTGTTAAAGTGGAAAATTTTGGATATGCAGCATAATTAGGTTTGAATGTCTGGAGATACAAGGGTAAACTTGCCTTTTATGTGTTATAATTATTATTATACTTTAAGGCAAGGTCTTGTTAAGTAGCCCAGACTGTGTCTAAAACTTGCCATTTTAAAAGCAAGATGTTGCTGGGAATGGTAGTAATATGTGCCTGTAATACTAACACTCAGGAGGCTGAGGCAGGAAGATCAAGAGCTTGTAGTTGTTCAGGGCTACATAGTGTCTCAAAAGATAAAAATTTGCAAATGGATATTAAGAACAGTTTTTCATTCATGTTACATATATATGAATGGAAATATACAGTGAAACCAATGTATATGCACAGTTAATATACACTAATAATTGAAAAGATCTCTGAGTGATATAAAAAGGGATTATAGTACTGTGTATATTACCCAGATCTGTCACTTAATAGTGTTTGTGGCCAGGACACATTATTTGGTAGCTGTAATTTTTCTTTTTGATAAAATAAAGGTCATAATAAAAAAGAAACAACCCGGCGCCGGTGGCTCACGCCTGTAATCCTAGCTACTCAGGAGGTTAAGATCTAAGGATCATGGTTCAAAGCCAGCCCAGACAGGAAAGTCCGTGAGACTCTTATCTCCAATAAACCACTAGAAAACTGGAAGTGGTGCTGTAGCTCAAGAGGTAGTGTGCTTTGCCTTGAGCTGAAGAGCTGAGAGATAGCGTCCAAGCCCAGAGTTCAAGCCCCATGACAGACAAAAAAAAAGAAATAAAATATAAATATAGTCTTACAGATGACTGGGCTTAAAAGGCTATTTTCAAATTTGGCTAGTAAAGAGTACATATGTGCTACAGATACAAAATAATTTTACATTTGATTTTCAACCATGTCTATTTCTTGTTTTGTAGAACATCTAAATATATTGCTATTGGGGTTGGCCCAAAGACTACACAAAGCACTTTCAAAAGTTGACATATCATTTTACACATCATCGAAAGGAGAGAATCTGAAAAATGTAGAAACAAGTTTACCATCCTGCCGTCATAACCAGCCAGCAAAACTTGTCATGGTTAAAAAAGAAGGGCCAAATAAGGTATTGTTCCTGCTCCCCAACACTCCATTTTTGTCTCACTCTTGATTAGGAGTCTTCTGTTTGAGATATAAGTAACCTTTGTTGTTGTTGTTGTTGTTATTGTTTTTCCAGTCTTGGGCTCTAAACTCTGGGCTGGGCACTCTCACTGAGCTTATTTGCTCAAGGTTAGTACCCTACCACTTGTGCCACAGTGCCACTTCCAGCTTTTTCTGAGTAGTTCATTGGAGGTAAAAGTCTTACAGACTTTTCTGTCCCGGTACAATCTCAGATGCCAGCCTCACAAGTAGCTAGGATTATAGGCGTGAGTAACTGGTGCCCAGCTTAATACTTTTTTTTATGAAAAGGCTAATCTATGTATTCTAGGGCACAGAATTAAAAATTGAAATTTCTGAGTTCCTATTACTTGGCTTTTATGTTGCTTAGGAATGCATTGCATAGTAGTGGACAGAGATGGAAGAGACAGAAAATATTGTAAAAGTAGGAACAGTATGTCCAAGTTACAGTAGAGCACCTGAGGGTGGGAGAATATGGAGATGAGCCTGAAAGAAATGAAAGTTGAAGCTAGTCTACTGTGGGAACTTCAATACAAGACGCAGACCCAGTGAAAGGAACAGGAATGTTAGCTCACTTAACTCATATTGCTAATAACATACTGTGGAGGAAGTCATATTAGTAAAATGTATGTTGGTTGATCACGTGTACTTGTGCTTTTATTTTTCCTTCCTTCCTTTCCTTCTTTGCTTTCTTGGCAAATCTTTTGCTATATAGTTCAGGCTCACTTGGAACCTGGAACTTGGAATTTGCTGGGTAGCTCAGACTAGCTTCAGACTTATCCTCTTGTCTCAGCCTTCAGAGTGCTAGGATTACAGGAATGTACTACCATACCTAGCCATAAAACAGCTTTCTTTCACTAATTGGATATCTCATGTTGACTTTAAATTTAGTTGTTAAAAGAGAGAACTAATAAATAATGGCATAATCATAGAATGAAGCATATAGACACTTAAAATCTTGGCTTTCTTTTCAAAATTGTTTAATGACATGATAGCATGTTCATACTATCTTGTTGTATATAAAGATTATGTTATAGGGTAGAAAATCTATCATGTGGATTTTGTTTTTAGCAAAAGAAAACATGTTATCTGTGTGTGTATATATATACTTGTATGAGGAAGATATGGAAGGAAATGTACAGATGTTGCTTACAGTTGTTTCTGGATAAATTTCAAGGTACCTATAAACATTTAATCAGAGAATAATAAATATGAATTTATTGCTGGCTTTCAAATAAATATTCTCAGACTGATAGATTTTTTTGATAAAAAGAAAATAAGTGAAAATTAGGCAATTTAAAAATTTAATTTATTAAATTAATAATTAGATTGCATAGTAATTCCTTGGAGTGCATTAATGTCAAGCAAACTTATGAGTAAAGTCTTAACAAGCATAATACGAAACAATAAAAACTTTTTTTCATTAAGTTTTCATCTTTTTTCTTTTCTTTTTTCACTGCTGGGGATAGAGCCCTGAGCCTCACAAAGGATGCTAGGCAAGCACTCTACCACTGGGTGACACTCTACTTTCAGCCCTAAATTTTAATACTTTCTTTCCCTTCAGGGTCGTTTCTTTTATGCATGTGATAGACCCAAAGCTGATCAATGTAAATTTTTTAAGTGGCTGGAAGAAGTGACTCCAGGAGGAGTGACACAGGAAGAGTCTCAGCCCAGCATGGTTTTAAATGATATTAAAAGCATTGGCTTGTATTTGAGAAGTCAAAAGATACCAGTCTATGAAGATTGCCAGCTTTTGGTGAGGTATGTTTTATAATATCAAATAATTGCCTTTAAGCCATATCAAGGAATAGGAGCCCTCACAGAATTATCAGTTGTTTTATTAATAATTTGAGCTACTTAGTATTGAGCCCAGGGCCTTGCACATGCTAAACAAGCTCTTTACCAGTGAATTACCTGCCCAGCCACATCAGTTTTAAAAGAAGTTGAAATGTGTTTCAACTAAGTTGCCTATCTAATGGAGAGAAAGTATCTAACAGAGACAGTGCTTCAGTTTCTACAACTATAAAATAGGGTTTATCTTTAATTTAAATTTAATTTATATTGGTCCTCTAACTATGAAATGACAGCAATATCAGGATATGTGACAGGAGGCAATTTTCTTTTTCTTTTTTTTTGGGGGGGGCAGTCCGGTCATGGAGCCTGAACTCTGGGCCTGGACGCTGACCCTTAGCTCTTCAGCTCAAGGCTAGCACTCTACCACTTGAGCCACAGCGCCACTTCTGGCTTTTTTCTTATGTGGTGCTGAGGAATCGAATCCAGGGCCTCGAGCATGCAAGGCAAGAGCTCTACCACTGAGCCACTTTCCCAGCCCGAGGAGGCTATTTTCTACCAGCTTATTTTTCTTTCTTTTTTAAATTCATGGCTCTCCTCCATAATCCAAAGAACCTTATTGAACAAACCAAAAATAAAATCATTTATTTATTTTTTTTGGGGGGTCCAATCGTGGGGCCTGAACTCTGGGCCTGGGCGCCATCCCTCAGCTCTTCTGCTCAAGATTAGCGCTCCACCACTTGAGTCACAGCGCCACTTCCGGCTTTTTTCTTTTTGCTTATGTGGTACTGAGGAATCGAACCCAGGGCCTCAGGCATGCAAGGCAAACGCTCTACCACTGAGCCACCTTCCCAGCCCCCAGAAATGATCTTTTCGTAATGCAGGATAATAGGGAACTGATTGTTCACAAGCTTGACCTATGCAGCCTGTAAGATACTACTTTTAGAAACATGTCTTTTGTAAAAGTGAGATTACTAAACAAGTAAGTATAATGAACATTTACATAACAGTTTATTGGAAGCTTATAAATACCAGGCTCTCTTATAAGCACTTTTTCCTTTTTCTTTCTTTTCTTTTTGGCTTTAGTGGAGTTTGAACTCAGGGCCTTGTTCTTACTAGGTGGATGCACTTGAGCCACACCACTCTCCATCTTCTAAGCATTTTATATGTAATATTTCATTTACATCATAGTAATGTTGAACATACGGAAATAGTGGGAATAAATTATTCTTATTTTATAGTTTTGGAAACTGAAGTGCTTGTCTTATATTTTTCCTATCCATCTTTTAAAACAGATGACAATTCAGTGTGAGAGTTATTTTCACTTTGGAATGTTTTATGTCTTATGTACATATGTGAAAGTATATACATATATATATATATATATATGTATGTATGTATGTATCTAACTCTGGTTCTTGTATTGATGTACTATGTTTTAAAGGTTTAAAGAATTATACCTTGATACTCAAATATATTTTTATTTTTCATTATTTTCAGAAAGGGATTTGATTTTCAGAGAAAACAGTATGGCAAACTAAAGAAGTTTGCTACAATAAATCCTGAATTTCATAGTGAAACCAAAAGCAAACTTTACCTTAAGCTGAGTAGGAAGGAAAGTTCTTCAGTTTATAGCAAAGGTAAGTAAATCTGATCATTGAGGTGATTCAGCTAAACACAGCTCTCTGAGTTCTTTGTATTGAAGAACCTTAGTGGCCAAACACCAGTGGCTCATCCCTCTGGAGGCTGAGTTCTGAGGATCACAGTTCAAAGTCAGCAGAATCAGACAAATAAGAGATTCTTACCTCTAGTTAACCAGCAAAGAAAAGCTGGAAGTGGAGATGTGGCTTAAGTATCAGAGTGCCAGTCTTGAGTAGAAAAAGTAAAAGCTCAAGGCTTTTGAGTTCAAGACCCAGTATTCTGCATACACATACACATATACCCCCCCCATGAAACTTTATTAAAAGAATACTCAAAGCCATTTGATTAGTTACACCAAGTTCTTGACTTAAAACTTATGTTTGTCACATAAATATATTGATTCAGCTCTATTCTGACCTAATATCGCAAATACGTTGGAAAGCATAGGGAGATTGTGGGTACTTCTTTCACTGTCTGCCTACACCGCATCCCAAATATTGTATACTTAGAAACAAAGTCATTTAAAACTATGGATTTTCAAAAATCTCTAGATGCACTAAGTTACATGAATTATCTTTGGTTTTAGGATCTACTCTTGTCATTAATCCTTACATAGCTTGCTTTTATTTAGTTAATTAATTTTTAAAATGATTTAAGCATTTGTGAACTCATAATCCAAAACAAAATCTAGTATGCCAATGTATATTTAACACAAAGTTACCACACTAACTCATCTTTCTCTTGTACATAAACTTATATAAATGAATTCCTAAAAAGAACTTGTTTTTTAAATTTTTGAGACAGGGTCTTGCTAACCTCAACTGTGTCTTGAGCTCACACCATACTCCTGCTTCAGCCTTTCCAGTGCTAGAATTAAAAGTACGTATCACCATGCCCAACTCAACGAATACATTTTAAATCTTTAGTTTAAATTTTTTTCCCCCCAATCTTGGGATTTGAGCCCAGGGCCTCATACTCACTTGACTTGCTTGCTCATCAACAGTGGGACTTAAACTCATGGCCTCTCTCTTCTATTTCCCAATCACAGCTGGAGCTCTACCACTTGAGCTATGGCTCCTCTTCTGTCTTTATCCTGGTTAATTGGAGATAAAAGTCTCTTTGATATTTATCTGCCTGGGCTCTATGTTTCAAATGGGATTAGTGGGCCTTATAAAAGGAGATTGAAGGGAGCATCCTATCCCCTTTGGACCCATCTGCCATTGAGGACCTAGCCTTCTGCCCCTTCTACCATGTGAGGATACAGTAAGAGGCCCCATCTGTGAAGCCAAGAGCAAATCAGTCTAATATAGTTTATTCTGGCAGTTTGAATAGACTTAACAATAGTTTTGTGGAGGAGTTTTTGATAAGACCTCAAAAGCAAAAATAATTGTGTTTACATCAAACTAAAGCTTCTATACAGCAAAGGAAACAATCAACAGAATTAAGAGAATCTATAAAATGGGAGAAAATATTTTCAAACCATATGCAAAATACATCAGGAACTCAGTTAGAAACCAAATAACCTTGTATGCCACATTTTCTTGTTTCATTCGTCCACTGAAGGGCATTGGGTTGATTCAATATCTTGGCTATGGTAAACAATGCTGCAGTAAACATTGTTATGCTAGTAGCTTGTGCTCTATTGGATAAATGGAATGGAATGGAATTGCTGGTTCATAGGAAAGTTCTATGTCTAGTCTTCTGAGGAACCTCCATACTGCTTTCCATAGCAGTTGAATAAATTTACATTCCCACCAACAGTGTAATGATCTTGTACTAATCGTAAGGAAATAGAAGGACATGGAAAAAATATTAAGCAAAATAAGCCAGACCCAAAGAAATATAGGTTGCATGCTTTCTCTCATTTATAGTAATTAGAATGTGCCTTTAAGTCCACAAGTAAACACACCAGATGGTAAAAGAAAAATATATTAGGGCTTGATAAATTAGGTATTCACATAGAGTGAGACTAAAGGAAGGTATTCTTATGAGGGGGGGTCACATGGGTGCAATGTGTATACACATCTAACCATATAAAAAGTATTTATCTAAATGAACTCCAGGAAGTGGAAACAAGAGGTATTTGTTTCTTTGCTGCTGCTTTTGTTTTCATTTCCTTTGGTTTTGTTTGTTCATTTATCTGTCTTAGGGAGGGTAAGGAGGGCACAGAAATGGAGGGATGAAGAGTGAACAAATATAGCGGTGGTACTCACTAGACAGTGTGTTGAAAATGGATGTGGGGTTGGGAAGGTGGCTCAGTGGTAGAGCGCTTGCCTTGCATGCATGAGGCCCTGGGTTCGATTCCTCAGCACCACATAAGCAAAAAGAAAAAAGCCGGAAGTGATGCTGTGGCTCAAGTGGTAGAGCACTATCCTTGAGCTGAAGAGCTGAGGGACAGCGCCCAGGCCCAGAGTTCAGGCCCCACGACTGGACCCCAAAAAAAAGAAAATGGAATATACAACTTGTGAGTGGGATCAGGAGGGAAAAACTGGGAAAGAACAAGGGAAGAGGTGACATAGTTCAAAAAGAAATTTACTCTTAGCCAGGCACCAGTGGCTCACGCCTGTAATATAGTTACTTGGGAAGCTGAGATCTAAGGATTGCAGTTCAAAGCCAGCCCAGGCAGGAAAGTCCAAATAGCCACCAGAAAACTGGAAGTGGCGTTATTGCTGAAGTGGTAGAGTGCTAGCCTTGAGGTGAAGAGCTCCGGGACAGTGCCAAGGCCCAGAGTTCAAGCCCCACAACTAACAAAAAAAAAGAAAGAAACGTACTCTTTATCTGACTGATGTAATGTTAGCCCCTCTGTACATCACTTCTACAATAACTATAAATAAATTAAAAAAGAAGCAAATAAATAATCTGATTGCAAACTAAACAAAGGACTACAATAAACATTTTCCCAAAAAAGACATACAGTGGCCAACAGTGTATGAAATGTAAATCAAAACTACATGAGATAATATCTCAAACCTACTAGAATGGCTAATTCTGAAAGGACAAGAGATTACAGTTATTGATCAGAATATGGAGAAACTGAAATTGTTGTACATTATTGATGAGAATGTGACATGGTATAGATATTGTGGAAAGCAGCCTTGGAGACCCTCAAAAAACAAAATAGGTCTACTATGTAACTACCCCATTACTAGGTACATATCCAAGAGATACAAAATCAGTATCTTCAAGAGGTATCTTCACTCTTGTACTTATTCTTTACTCACAAAGCAAAGATGAGGTAACAACTGTCCTTCAGCGGAAGAATAACAAATAATGCTGTGTATGCACATGAGTGTGTGTGTATACATACATAGGTATATAATACTTGCCACATTAGTGTGTATATAATTCTAGTATAATATTAGCCACATTATATGTATATAATAAAACTAGCCATGTTGATATTTTCAACATGTGTGGATGTGTAGGACTTTATGCTAAGTGAAACCAGATGCAGACTTATTTGCAATAGACTGTATATAAGTGAATGTGGAGTGTTGCCTGTCTAAGGGATAAAGAAAACATGGAGATGGTAGAGTATCAACCTTCTGTTACAAGTAAGTTGTACGGTTTCATAGCATGTTGGCTATAGTTAATAAAAATGTATCCTGCACCTGAACGTTGGAAACGGGATAGATTATTTGCACAGGGAAGAGTTCTTGTCATCGATCCATCCATACATCCATATGTACATATATGTATTATGAATACACACTGTATATGTATACACACAATGTATACATACACAAATGTAACAATGGCAGGTGATGGATATGTTTGTGTGGCTGTAGGAATCATTACACAAGTTATACTTATTATCAAATAAGTTGTGAGTTTGTAGCTCAGTGGTAGAATGAATGCTTCCTGTGCATAAGGGACTGATTTCATTCCCCATCATCTCCTTCCCAAATACCATGTTACATTCTCTGATTATATACATTTTTAAACATGTCAATTACACCTCAATAAATCTGAGGAAATGTTTGTCTCTCTAGATGACCTTTGGGTGGTTTCAAAAACTCTAGACTTCGAACTAGATACATTCATCGCATGTAGTGCTTTCTTTGGACCATCATGTACCAATGAGGTGGAACTGCTACCTTTGAAAGGCTATTTCCCTTCTAACTGGCCCACAAACAGTAAGTGTTGCCATGTCCATCTTAATTTGTATTTAAAATAAATAACAGAGGCACTGTGAGCAAGATTGCTAACTGTGTGTGGGATTATTTGATGAAAGCCTACTTCTAGTTTCTAATATTGTATACATTGTGTTTCTGAAAATGCATATGAAAATTTAAATTGCTCAAATGGAGATTGCTTTAATAGTATAAATATTATTTTAATCTTATAAACCAAAAATAAAGATCCTCTTAGTACATCAAGGAAAAAACGAAAGTCCTACGACTAATGCCCAAAGCTGGTATTTTAGATACGTATATGAAATACAATTTTTTTTTGTCATGGGGCTTGAACTCTGGGCCTGGGTGCTGTCCCTCAGCTCTTTAGCTCAAGGCTAGCGCTCTACTACTTGAGCCACAGGGCCACTTCCAGTTTTCCGAATGGTTTATTGGAAATAAGAGTCTCATGACTGCCCGGGCTGGCTTTGAACCTTGATTCTAAGATCTCAGCCTTCTGAGTAGCTAGGAATACAGGTGAGCCACCAGCGCCCAGCTAAAATATAAATATTTCTTCAGTTCAAGTCCTATAGAGATAATTAAATCTTTTTATTTATTTATTTTTTTTGGGTCCAGTCGTGGGGCCTGAACTCTGGGCCTGGGTGCTGTCCCTCAGCTCTTCAGCTCAAGACTAGCACTCTACCACTTGAGCCACAGCGCCACTTCCGGCTTTTTTCCCCCCTGCTTATATGGTGCTGATGAATCGAACCCAGGGCCTCAGGCATGCAAGGCAAGCGCTCTACCACTGAGCCACCTTCCCAGCCCCAAGAGATAATTAAATCTTGAACCATTACCTAATATTTTGCTGAAGTTGATTTGTATACTCCCATTAGACATGTAAATGAAATTTTTTCAAATAATTCCATCAAACTCTGGTTCTCTTGGTTATTAGAAAGTACATTTAGTGAGGAATATATTTTTACACTGACAAGATCTTGGAGATTCGGAGTTAATGATTTGCCTTAAGAGTATCTTGTCATCTGGGGAGGTTTTTTGTTTTGCTTTTTTTTTTTTATGGTCCTGGGGGGGCTTGAACTCAGGGCCTTGGGTGCGATCCCTGAGCTTCTTTTTCCTTAAGGGTAGTGCTCTACCTCTTGAGCCACAGCACTACTTCCAGCCTTTCCTGAGTTTTTTTTTTTTTGGTCGGTCATGGGGCTTGAACTCTGGGCTTGGGTGCTGTCCCTGTGCTCTTCAGCTCAAGGCGAGCGCTCTACCGCTTGAGCCACAGCACCACTGCTGGTTTTCCAGTGGTTTATTGGAAATAAGAGCCTCACGGACTTTCCTGCCTGGGCTGGCTTTGAACCGTGATCCTCAGATCTCAGCCTCCTGAATAGCTAGGATTACAGGCATGAGCCACCGGTGCCCGGCTTTTTCTGAGTATTTTTATTGGGGGTAGGAGTCTACCAGACTTCCCTGCTCAGGCTGGCTTTGAACCACAATCCTCAGATTTCAGCCTCCTGAGTAGCTAGGATTACATGCATGAGCCACCAGTACTTGGCTTGGGAGATACTTTATATTTTTGTTTTGTCAGTTGTGGGGCTTGAAGTCAGGATGCCCCACAACAGTGCCCCAGAATGGGCTGTTCGCTCTTTTTTGACTTCTTTTGCTCAAGGCTAGTGCTCTACTACCTTGAGTCACAACTCCACTTCTGGTTTTCTGGTGGTTAATTGGAGATAAGAGTCTCATAGACTTTACTACCTGGGCTGGCTTTGAACCATAATCCTTAGAACTCAGCCTCCTGAGTAGCTAGGATTACAAGAGTGATCCACCAGCTCCCAGTTTGGGATTTTTTTTTTGTTGGTCGTGGGACTTGAACTCTGGGCCTGGGTGCTGTCCTCAGCTTGTCAGCTCAAGGCGAGCACTCTACCAGTTGAGTCACAGCACCACTTCCTAAAGTTGTTTTCTTACTATTAGAATATAAGCACTCTTAATATTTTTACAAGATAATTGAAGAAGAAATGCAAGACACATTTAAAACTTACATAAAGATTACTGTGCATCATAAGTGGTATACTGATTAAAGAGAGCTGCCTGTCAGATAGTGCCACAATACATTAGATCAAAACAAATGTTCTTTCAACCGATACATAGAAGTCCAAGTATGATTAAAGTTATACTCTGTGTGGGTGGTCACCTATGAAATGAGTAAGTGGATGCTGTACTATTGAATGGATAAAAATTTGTGTATCTTTGCAGGTATTTAGCAGTTTGTATCATTTGATGAATTCGGTAGCTGAACTCTTGGGTTATAGCGATATTTAATTGGTACATTTATATAAAATAAAATTGTTTTCTGCTTCTTTTCTCTAGTAATGGTCCATGCATTATTGGTCTGTAATGCCAGCACAGAGCTGACTACTTTGAAAAACATTCAGAACTATTTTAATCCAGCTACTCTACCACTAACACCTCACCTATTAACCATGTAAGTTATCACTTGTCTTTGGAGCATTGATATTTAAAAATAGCAAATGAAAATGCTATATAAAGCACATTAAATAAAATTTACCCTTAAAATGCTTAGTTATCTTTCAGATCATAAGATTACTGTCTATTGTTATTTAAACATAAGATTGTAGCTCAGGGGTAGAGCACTTGCCTAGAATATGTGAGGCCTTGGGTTTGATTCCCATGTACATAAATAAATTAATAAATTGTTTTAAAAAGAAAGGAGGAATTATGCATAATTTCCTACTCAGCTATTATTTGTTTTAGTTTGGGCTGCTACATATTTGCAATTTTTTTCTTTATCAAGGGATAATTTATTGTTTTGATTTTAATGTCCTTCAGGCTGGCCTGGAATTCAGAATCCTTTGCCTCAGCCTCACAGATGCTAAAGGAATAATTTGTTGTGTATGTGTGTGCGTGTATGTATGTGTATGTGTGCATGTGTGCGCACCAGTCTTGAACTCAGGACCTGGGTGCTGTCCCTGAGCTTTTTTGGTCTAAGCTATACCTCTTAAGCCACAGCCCCACTTCTGGCTTTTTGGTGGTTAATAGGAGACAAGAGTTTCACAGACTTTCCTTCCATGCTGGCTTTGAACTATAATCTTCAGATCTCAGCTTCCTGAGTAGCGAGGATTATAAGCATGAGCAAAATTTTTTTTAAAGATAATTATTTGACTGTTTTAAATGTATCCGTTTATATGGCACAATTATTTAAAATTTTAAGAATTAATTTTATTCTTTTTGTGTTTTTGTTTGTTTGCCTGTTTTTTTGGCCAGTAGTAGAATTTGAACTTGGCTTCTTCCTTTTGCCTTTTCACTGGTAGTTTTCTACCATTTGAACTGTAGCTCCAATCTAACTTTTTGGTGGTTAATTGGAGTTGGAGACTTTTCTTTGAACCTCAATCCTCTGGATCTCAGCCTCCTGAGTAGTTAGGATTACTGGCACAAGACACTGGTGCCTGCATGTAATTTTATTTTTGACATAATCCTCATTTCAGTTTTAATATTTCAAATACCCAGGCCCCTTCTTAAAAAGCCCCATTTATGCTGGGCACCGGTAGCTCATGCCTGTAATCCTAGCTACTCAGAAGGCTGAGATCTGAGGTTCACGGTTCAAAGCCAGCCCAGGCAGGAAAGTCTGTGAGACTCTTATCTCCAATAAACTGCGAGAAAACCAGAAGTAGTGCTGTGGCTCAAGTGGTAGAGTACTAGTCTTGAGCTGAAGAGCTCAGGGCACAGCCCAGGCCCAGAGTTCAAGCCCCACAGCTGACAAAAAATAAAGGGGAGGGGGGACATCTATATAAACTGTAATTTTGCTCTCATTTAAATGCATTAAAATGATAGAAATTTTCTGTTTCCTAATTTTCAATGTTATTATCCATCTTGCTGTGATTTACTCTCACCATAATGAATCCTAGGTACAAAAGAAAAAATCCTTAAGGGTTCATTATGTTATTTATCTAACTTGAAATGAGTTGAGCCCTTGTAGAAATAAAAGCAATTATTGTAATTTTACCAGAAACAGGTGCTGTGTTCTCTAAGCATTCTACCATTTATTAATAGTGTGACTTTGGGGAAAACAGTTTAATTATATATTTATATTTTGGATAATTGTTTTGTTGTGAAGATTATATAAAAGAATATGTTTTTGACTCAAGCTAGCAAATTGTAGGTATTGAACAAAACATTTCTCTTGCATTGACCTCTAAATTGAGATCTAAATCTGTTCTCCCTCAAAATATCTTCTGTGATGATTAAAAAAGGAAGACTTAAGTTATGAAAAGTCCACTTAGCTATCTCAAAAGTCTTTAAGTTTTCTTTGATTTGCTGCCTTTTTTTTTTTAAACCAGGTCTTCATCAACTACAGTTAGCAGTAAGAATGTTGTCAGTAAGAGAAAATTTATTCCACCAGCCACTGTAAATATCAACACAAAATCTGAGCTCCTCAGCCTAGGAGCAACATTGCAGTTAGCCAGTGAGTTCATTCAGACACACAAGTTAAACAAGGACCAAGCTACAGCTCTAATTCAAATCGCTCAAATGATGTCATCCCTGGAAAGTGTTGGTGAAGTGAAGGAAATGTGCATCCATACCCTTCCTATCACAGTCATACATGGTAAGAAGCAAGAAGACGACCTTAGTCAATACACTTTAATATAATAATATAAACGTTGTAACTTGTCCTCTTCCTTTGCAATTTCCCAGAGAGTAAGAGTGTCAGCTGAAGAGTTAGAATCTTGCCTTTGTATCCTGGTTCTCTCATTTTTTATGTTTAGGATCTTGGACAGATTACCTAGCTTTGATTTCTTGCTCTGAAAGGTGAATGTCTCATTGGGTGGAGGATGAGTTAATATAGGTGAAATGATCTGGGTGGGGATGGTTCATGCCTGTAATCCTAGCTATTCACAGGCCTGAAAGCTAGAGGAACACAGTTCCCACCAGCTAAAAGATAGGCTGGAGGTATTGCTCAATGATAGAGCACCAGCAAGCTGAATGAGTATGATACCCCTGAGTTCAGGCTCTAGTGCCACCAACAACAAAAGGCAAAAAAAACAAACAATAACAACAATAAAAAATGCCCATAAGTGAGAGGCTTAGAACAGTGTCTGGCACATGGGAGATACTTGGTAAAGTTAGCATTTATTATTTTTATGATTATCTCACATAGTTTTCTGAGTGCCTTATCTTTCTCCATATTTTTCTGAAACCATCTGATAAATCCTATTGCTTAAAGTCCTTCAGTGACCTCCCTATCCTTGAAGATGAAATTAAAATATTTTAGCTATAGCAAACTGAGGACTTACTGTTTCACCTCCCTCCAACCTCATTGGCTATCTATTTGCTGTTAGCCTATATAGACCATTTAAAGTTCTTTTTGACAATACTTGTCACACTTCTACATTAAATAATCCTTCCTCTAAGCAGTCTTGATATCTTAAGCCTTGAAGACTTAGTCCTCCAGCTTCTTCCTTTTAGGAAGCATTCCTGTCCCCACCAAAACACACATGGGTATTCTTTTTTCCTGTACCCCACAGCCATGTTACTTGCCATGTTAGATGATCATTTCCCCTTTACCTGTTTATCCTGTTAAGCTGACAGTGGTCTTATTAAGGTGAAAGTATTCTGAGTATCCTTGTGTACACCTTGTAGTGGGCACCCATTATTTTTCCTATGTTAATAGTTAAGGAGAACAAGAGATAAATAGATAGAATATTTCTTGTACTTTTAGAACATGTGTCATAATATTGCCTTAATTTCTTTTTTTTCCCTTTCTTTAAAACAATTAGGTGTTTTTGGAGCAGGAAAAAGCTATTTGCTGTCAGTGGTGATTTTGTTCTTTGTACAGCTATTTGAAAAGAGTGAAGCTCTTGCTGCTGGAAATGCAAGGCCATGGAAACTTCTGATTTCTTCTTCCACTAATGTAGCTGTGGACAGAATCCTTCTTGGGTAGGTAGGACAGGCATATTTATGTAGCTGATGAGAGAAGCAGTCTGCTGTGTCCCCTAAGTATTCATACTTGCTTAGAGTGCAAGGCCATTTTCTCTGATCCTACGAAACTATGACAGGCTAATTTATTAATTGATAAGAAAAACAAAATCAAATCCCAGACCTGACAATTTTCACACCATTATGAGAATCTCATATATAAAAACCAAGTTCAGCTAACAGCGGTGGGCCCTGAGCATCCCTGCAAGCATTTTGCAGGGCCAAGCTCACAGGGAGCAGCTCAGCCTGATATGGTAAGGTCTTCCTCCAGGACCATGAGCAACCTTGACTACTGCTTGTTAATAAAATCAATGAATCTCCAACGTTCATGTTAATTTAGTCCACTGCTTGTGCAGGCATCCATTGTCACAGCCCAACTCCCCTTGTGGAACTTGAGGATCCAATACAGATATCACAAATCTCACGTTGCTTCCTATGCCATGAGCCAAAGTCCTTTTCTTTTGAACCATGAGCCTTAAGTCTATTATGCGAGAAATAGGTAAAGTCAAATCTTAGAATCAAGCTGTGGCTTATGCCTGCAATCCTAGCTACTCAGGAGACTGAGATCAGGGAGCATGGTTCAAAGTGAAACCAGTCTCTGAGGCTCGTATCTCCAGTTAACCATCAGAAAAGTTGGGAGTGGGGCTGTGGCTCAAGGGATAGAGTGCTATCTTTGAATAACAGAGCTCAGAGATAGTGCCTTGACCTTGAGTTCAAACCCCAGGACCAGCAAAATAAAAAAGTCTCAGAACCAATACTTACAGACCATTCTTATGTAAACAGTAACATAGATAAACAGTTTGAGTGAATTTTTCTTTTCGTTTCAATAAGGGTGATACAGAAAAGAAAACAGCAATCCTAAGCAGTTATACATTTTTTTTTAGTAATTATTATGATTTGCCTTTAAGGATTTTTGTCACAGTATAGCATAATGGTAAAATTTGGGAAAGAATTTACTGATCAATAACTGCTTAATTATTAAGTACAACTGAATTACAAAAAGCTATGTTTCCTGAGGCTTAACACCATAGAGCAATAATCTTTTAAGTAAAGGAAAAACAGAATGCAGAACAGTATATTGAATTCCAAGTTTGTGAAGCAAAAGGTGTGCATAAAAATTTGTGAAAAAGATAAACTATAGTTTCTACCATAAGCATTACTTTACTTGTTTATAAAAGATTTTGAAGTCTAGACTTATAAATTAACAGATTAATTTCCTAATACTAGAGCTGAAAAACATATAAGCAGGAAGGGGGAGGAGAATGTCTGCATAAAGCCTAATTGGGCCTAAGGTAATAGAGAATAGTTATGGCCTAAGGAGATAGAATAGCCTGGGTTTTAAATATGGCTGACTCCATCTATTAGCTATGTAGCCTCAGCAAAGCTACTTCATCTCTGAGCTTCACTATTCTTCATCTGTAAGATGAGGTGGTGTTCAGAACTGCAGTCATTAAATACTATGTGTGAAGAGGATCTTAATAATTTTTTATGCTAGATGTAAGGTATGTATTGCTTTATTACTGTGTCCTTAAGGACAATTTTATTTATGATTAACATTGGTATTTTATAAACATTTCATGACTGTCAACATAAGATAATAAATATTTTTTAACAATCTCCAGAATGGGAGAGAGGAGCCCAGTGGTAGAGTGCCAGGCCTTGGGTTTGATCCCTAGTACTACCGAGGGATTTGAGGGAGGGGAGAAAGTCTTAAAATGTCTCATCTAAAAGAAATCATTTAAATACATTTTTTTAAAATTTAGGTGTTTCACATTACATCATATAACCATAAAAATGTTACTGTGCAAAGTTGCTGGGTGCCTGTGGCTTACACCTGTAATCCCTGCTACTCAGGAGGCTGGGATCTCAGGACTGCCGTTAGAAGCTAGCCCAGGCATAAAAGTCTGTAAGACTCTTTTTTTTTTTTTTGGGGTCCGGTCGTGGGGCCTGAACTCTGGGCCTGGGCGCTATCCCTCAGCTCTTCAGCTCAAGGCTAGCGCTCTACCACTTGAGCCACAGCGCCCACTTCCGGCTTTTTTCTTTTTGCTTATGTGGTACTGAGGAATCAAACCCAGGGCTTTGAGCATGCAAGGCAAACGCTCTACCACTGAGCCACCTTCCCAGCCCCTGTAAGACTCTTTATCTCTAATAAATCACTCAGAAAAACCCAGAAGTAGAACAGTGGCTCAAATGTTAGAGTGCTAGCCTTGAGCACAAAGAAGCTCAGGGACAGTGCCCAGGCCCTGAGTTCAAGACCCAGGACTGGCAAAAGAAAAAAAAAAAAACAAAACCAACAACAAACCTATAATGCAAAGTTAATTTTAATGATACAGCTAGGCATGGTTGCATACACTTAGCTCTCAGGTGACAGGATGATCAACTTGTAGGCTATATAGTGAGACCTTGTCTTCATAAAACAAAACAAAAACACTCACCTGATGTAAATACCGCATGAAGCTTTGTTTCATATCTTGTACATAATCAGAATCTGTTTTGTCTTCTTTTCTTTAAAGGCTTCTTGGTCTTGGATTTGAAAAGTTTGTCAGAGTCGGGAGTCTTAGGAAGATTGCCAAGCCAATTTTACCTCATAGGTAAGACTGCTAAGTTCCAATGAGTGTTCAGAGACATGAAGACATTTTATCTATATTTTTAACCTTAAATCTGGTGTTTAAATAGGAGTGAGGAAAATATTATCTTTTTCTGGATTAATTTAGGATTTTTTTTTTCAATCGTGGGGCTTGAACTCTGGGCCTAGGCGCTATCCCTGAGATCTTCAGCTCAAGGTGAGTTCTCTACCACTTGATCCACAGTGTCATTTCACAGGTTTTCTGGTGGTTAATTGGAGGTAAGAATCTCACAGACTTTCCTGCTCGGGCTGGCTTTGAACCATGATCCTTAGATCTCTGCCTCTTGAGTAACTATGATTCCAGGTGTGAGCCACTAATACCCAGCCTAGGAAATTTTTTAATTAGAAAATCTAACTTTAAACTTAGGAGAGGCTCACAAAGGCTCTGTAGCTATATGGATATCATCATATAAAGTAATATTTATCAAAATAAACTCCAAGAAATGGAAACAAAGTTTTTTTTTAGTTTGTTGCTGTTTTTGTTTTCTGCACCTTTTGACTTGTTTGAATGTTTTGGGGAGGGCAAGCAGGAGACAGAAAGGATTCCACAAAGAGTGAACAAATGCAGCAGTGTTACTAACTGGACACTATGTTGAAAATGAACTATACAACTTGTGAGTTGTATAGTTTCTCCTCCCATCTTTATGGGAGGAGAAAAACTGGGAGAGAGCAAAGGAAGAGGTGACATTGTCCAAAAACAAATATACTCATTACCTGACTTATATAACTAAAACCCCTTTGTATATTCTATTTTGTGATGTTTAAAAAGTGGAGTATAAAGACTAGGGTTATTTTTTTGTTTTTTTCATGTGTAAGAACATTTTAAGCTTTATTTTACAAAACATTTCCAGGGGCTAGGAATGTGGCTTAGTGTCTGTAGAGTGCTTGCCTAGCATGCATGAATGAACTCTGGGTTCAATTCCTCATACCACATAAACAAGAAAAGCCAGAAGTGGTGCTGTGGTTCAAATGGTAGTGCTAGCCTTGAGCAAAAGAAGCCCAGGGATAGTGCCCAAGCCCTCAGTCCAAGCCCCAGGACTGGCAAAAAAAAAAAAACCCAAAAAACAAAACATTTCCAACATCCTCATATTATACTATAGTGAAAGCAAATGTATACATATAATATGGAATATATATATTCCACATCAAATTCTAAATTGCCAGTTCCAACTAAGGTAGCAAGTGGCAATCTCTAAAGAGTAGTATTGTTCTTTTTTGCTTTATTATTATTATTTTTAGTCTGCATGCTGGCTCAGAAAATGACAATGAACAATTAAAAGAACTCCATGCACTCATGAAAGAGGACCTGACACCTGTGGAAAGAGTCTATGTAAGAAAAAGCATTGAGCAGCATAAGCTGGGGACCAACAGAATGCTGCTGAAGCAGGTAGGAGGCAGATCTCCGGTTATGATTTAGTCACATTCTCTATTTCTGGCAAGGGAAGGTTATTTTAATAAAAGCAACCACTATGACAACCAGGTGCCAGTGACTTAAGTCTGTAATTCCAGCTACTCAAGAGGCTGAGATCTAAGGGGTAGGGTTCATAGTCTTCCTGGGCAGGAAAGTCTGCGACTCTTATCTTCAGTTAACCACCAAAAGGCCAGAAGTGGAACTGTGGCTCAAGTGGTAGAGTGCTAGCCTTGAGCAAAAAAGCTCAGAGATAGCACCCAGGTAATGAGTTCAAGCCCCAGGACTGGCACCAAAAATTAAAAGAGAGACAGTTTCCTTCTTCACTAAGGGCTGAGTTTGATTGTGTTGAATGAATATAAAGTAGCCATTTCAGGTCTAGAGGCATACAGATAGAGAGGCTGCTCTGAGCTCAGCCCTAGTAAATCCTCCCCCCCCCCATAGCCATTTATATAAACTATCATTTTATTCACCCAACCTAAAAATAACTGCTTACATCTTCATAAACAAAATGTATATTACTTTGTATTACCTATTACCATTTTTGAAGAGAGAGAGAGAGTGGTGTGTGTGTGTGTGTGTGTTACTAAGGTTTGAACTAAGGGAGTCTCATGCTTGCTAGATAGGTGTATTAACACTTGAACCACATCTACTAAAGAATACCAATCCAGTTAAGCTGTGAGAACAGACCGATTCTTAAAGTGATACATCTTTTCAATGAAACTATTTTTTTTAATGCTTCATAGTTAATTTCTAATTCCTAGGTCAGTAACAAAATCTTTTAATAATATAATAATGAATTAAAAGATAAAAATTACATAATTCTTCTCAGAAAAAAATTCTTTTAAGTTTTTGTATTAGGTCTTTCTTTAAACTGAAAGAATTCTTGATTTATAAATTTAAGGTTCCCATTCAAAGTTTGTTTAGTCAAATACAGTTCCCAGAAATTAAATAGCAAATTATATTTCAAAGTAGTGCTAAGCAGTATATAGGTTACAGGGATTTCACATCACTATAGACATGAATGTTTAAATGTTATAGAATTTCTAATGTAAAAATTTCTAATATAAAAGTAGATTACAATGTATTTTTCTTTTTGTTTTTGTTTTGAGTTATCATATAGCCCAAGTAGGCCTGCAACTTTTGGATCCTCTTGCCTCAACCTCTCAAATACTAGGATTACAGGTGTACCCTATCATAACTGGCTTTGTTTTTGTTTCCGATGAAAGAAAACAGCTAATGTATTTAGAGCTTTTACGTCTGATGAGTGTTATTGACGAGCAAGAAAGTAAAATGTTTGGGGCTGGGGAGGTGGCTCAGTGGTAGAGCGCTTGCCTTGCATGCATGAGGCCCTGGGTTCGATTCCTCAGCACCACATAAGCAAAAAGAAAAAAGCTGGAAGTAGCGCTGTGGCTCAAGTGGTAGAGGGACAGCGCCGAGGCCCAGAGTTCAGGCCCCATGACCGGACCCAAAAAAAAAAAAGAAAGTAAGATGTTTGTAATATTGTTTCATAGGATCTGCAAAGGGATGGTTAATTTTTATGGATTGCTCTTGCTGACAAAAAGTACAATTATACTGCACGTAGTAGAAAAGCATATATAGATGTATATTTATATATGTACACGCAAGTACATACTTGAGCCAATGACCACAAAAAGTTTATAGATTTTTCTATTGGTTGCATTTAGTTATGGAAATTAAATATTTGCCTTTCAGGCTTTTTGCCTTAAGAACATTTTTTTCTGTTTAACCTATATTATCAGTATTAGTGTGCCTGATAGTTAAGCAAAGAACAGTTGATTACCACATTACCTTTTCTTTGTGGAGGAATTTGGTCTATGTTGTTATAATATACTTGTATTCAAACTCACCTAGAAGATAAAATAGAAACATCATCCTTGATGCTTCCTTAATCATTGGTATTATTATACTGCTTTCCTTCTTCGTTGGTCATGGGGCTTGAATTCAGGGCCTGGGCACTATCCCTGAGTTCTTTTTGCTCAAGTCTAGTGCTCTAACACTTTGAGTCACTTCTGGTTTTCTGGTGGTTAATTGGAGATAAGAGTGACACTGACTTGTCTGTCCCAGATGGCTTCAAACCACAATCCTCAGATCTTAGCCTCCTGAGTAGCTAGGATTACAGGCTTGAGCTCGGCAACAGTTTCCTTCTGAATATGAAATCATGCCTTTTGCTCTGATTAGTGAGCCTGCAGATTAAGTAGCCTGTGTTCTGTGGTTTCCATTTTGTGTGTGGGAATAATAAAAATGTACAGAAAGAAAGTGACCAATGATTCCTTGTCAGGAAATAATTTAGGACTAGTTTGATTCCTGTTTACAAGATTTGTTAAGTATGTTCTCTTCTTGTTTTGTTTCGTTTTTTTTTTTTTTTGGTTGGTCATAGGGCTTGAACTCTGGGCTTGGGCGCTGTCCTTCAGCTCTTCAGCTCAAGGCAAATGCTCTACCGCCTAAGCCAATCCACCACTTCTGTTTTCTAGTGGTTTATTGGAGATAAGAGTCTCATGGCTTTCCTGCCTGGGCTGGCTTTGAACCGAGATCCTCAGATCTCAGCCTCCTGAGTAGCTAGGATTACAGGCGTGAGCCACCTGTGCCCAGCTGTTCTCTTATTTTCTTTTACCAGCTGTCAACTAACCGCATTTTTGTCTGACTAAGGTCCGAGTAGTTGGTATTACCTGCGCAGCCTGCCCGTTCCCATGTATGAACGACCTGAAGTTCCCTGTCGTTATGCTGGATGAGTGTAGCCAAATGACGGAGCCCTCCTCTCTGCTTCCCATTGCAAGGTGACCTGGAAGATTCTTCCCCAGATACACTCACATATCAAAATTATTTCAACATCTCCAGAAAACAGTCTCTTAGCAGATTTTGGTCAAAATTCTTAGCAATTTAAGTATAAAAACAACATTCTTGAAAATAATACAATGGGAATTTTTTTTGAAGTAAATGTATCTCAAGTTTGTTAGATTGCAGCTTAGATATTTGAATCGTATAATCCTTAAACCCTGAAAACACTAGCTCTAGGATTCTTCTAGAATTTTGCAGCTTTCTCAACTATGTTAACAATTCCTCTCTTATAGTCATAGTTTGAGAGCCTGGCTGCTAAACAATGTCCTTGAGCCAAAGAAGCTCAGGCACAGTGCCCAGGTCCTGAGGTCAAGCCCAGGGCTAAAACAAAAAGAAAAAAGTTAAAAAATACATATGTATAAAAAGTAGTTAAAATTTTCCAAGTCATGCTAGCCAAAGGAAAATTGTGCTTTTAAAGTATCTCTTGGAGCTCAGTACATACTTCAGTAGTAGAGCACGTGTTTAGCACACATGAGGCATTGGGTTCCCTCTTCAATACAATGAAAAATAAAGTAAGAAAAACCAATAACCTCTCTTATTGAGGAATCCTAGGGAAAATGGACAGTGTATTCAGCAGACCTTGATTAGTCCCTAGTTAAGGAAGGAATTAGTTGCCAACTATCAGGTTTTGCTCATGACTCGGGAGGTTCCTGGATCGTGGAGCTTTCAGGTTTTTGTTGTTGTTTTATTTATTTGATTGAATGCTTTTGTGCCAGTACTGGGGCTTGAACTCAGGACTGGGAGCCATTCCTTAATTTTTTTGCTCAAGGCTGATGCTCTACCTTTCCGTGTGTTGGTTAATTGGAGGTAAGAGTCTCATGGACTTCCCTACCTGGTCTGTCTGGGTTTGAACCTTAGAGCTCAGCCTCCTGAGCTGCTAGCATTATAGGCATGATCCTTCGGTTTTTAAGCTGTGCAAGTCCTAGGCCAATCAGGATGGTCACTGTATGCAGGCGCCAGAGTGGAAGAGCAGCGATGCCCTGGGCGGACAGCAGAAGAGAGCTTCTACTGTGGACTAAACACACTGCGTACATCATTTAATCTTTGCAGTCGCCATGCAGGGTGTCCTCACCTCTGCTACTGGTTAAAAATACTGAAGCACTGAGAGATTAAATAACGTGCTTTGTGAAAAACAATGAAAGTTGCAGTTTAGATAGAAGTTTGTCTATAAACCTTGGACTTTTTTCCTACATAGATCTTACTCCTATTTAAAAGCCATTTGGCCCCTGAGAGCCTTCCTTTACCTTTCACAGAAGAGTGTAAGTGAAAGGAATTGTAAGAAAGCCTCTAATTCTTAAGCATTTATGGATTCTAAAAGTTAGTGCTCCCACTGTGTTCTGTGAAATACCTATTCCATGCAAGGGGCAAATATCAGTCTGTGAGCAGTCCTTTAATGCATGATACCTAGAGCTTTTCTGATGCATCCTGGTGCTGTGAAGCCCCCCCTTCCCCCCCACCCCCTCCACCCCCGCCCTGGCACACTTTGTGTTCTTTGAATTCTTGGATCACATTTTGGAAAATGCACTAACTGATGTTAATATACCCTGTTTCCATTGTTTAGATTAATTCTTGAAATTTTGCTTTTAGGTTTGAGTGTGAAAAGCTTATTCTTGTTGGAGACCCCAAACAGCTGCCTCCCACAATTCAGGGTTCTGACGCCGCTCATGAAAATGGATTGGAGCAAACTCTTTTTGATCGACTTTGCCTAATGGTACACACTGCTGAGTACTTGCAGGATTTTCCTCTATTGATTGTATGCTGTGTGCCTGGATAGAATAAGAAAATATTAGACCTCAACCTTGTTACTGTTCTTAAACAGTTTGTAGTTGGCATTATTGAAAAAGTACTCTTCTTTAAAATTTTAAAAATACTTTAATGGTGCCAGTATTCTGGCTTAAATTCTGGACCTGTAGCTCTCCTATGGCTTTTTCTCTCAGTGCTGGCATTTACCACTTAAGCCACACCTCCATTACCAGCTTTTTTTGCTGATTTATTGGACATGAGAGTCTTAGGCTGCTTAGGCTGGCTTTGAACCTTAGTCTTTGGATCATAGTATTCTTAGTAGTTAGGATTATAAGCATGAGCCACGGATGCCTGTCCCCCAAAGTACTCATTTTAAAGATAGCTAGAACCCTGTAATTTTATCATGCCTTTATATAAAGAACCCTATGTGCTTAAGTAGTTGGTGGTAAATATATTATTTTGCCCTTAATATGTAATGTGGAACTCTACTTCACATTTTAGATATTTAAGAGATGATGATGATGATGATGATGATGATGATGATGATGATTAACCGGTTCTAGGGTTTGAGCTCTGGGCCTGGGCATTGTCCCTGAACTTTTATGCTCAGGGATAGTTAGTATTCTACCTCTTGAGCCTCAGCTCCGCTTCCAGCTTATTTTTAGTAGCTTTTTTGGAGATTAAGAGTCTCACAGACTTTCTTGCACAAGGTGACTTCTAACTGTGATTCTCAGATCTCAGCCTTCTGAGTAGCTAGGATTATAGACTTGAGCTACTGACACCCAGCTAAGAAGTCAATTATTAGTGTAATTTAAAATAGTGGTAAAATTCAAATAACATATGAACTCTTAAATAACTAACTTGTTAGCATTTAGTATAGTCCCAAAACTGTTTAATCACTACCTCTGTCTACTTTTAGAACATTTTCATTTTCCCAAAGTGGAATCTCATAGCCCATAACAGTTGCTCTCCTGGACCAGCAACTAGAAACTGTTTTTAGTTCTATTTATTCCCTATGAGAGCATCTTAGTCATATGAGGCTACATTAGCAAAATATTTTTGTAATTTTATAGTTTACATTATACTCTAAATATTTTAATAATTAAAAATACTTTATTTGTTGCTTGTCCTATCATATTTATAATAAATTTTTTTTTGTCAGTTTTGGGGCTTGAACTTAGGCCCTGGTGCTGTTCCTGAGCTTTTGTGCTTAAGGCTAGTGCTCTACCACTTTGAGCCACAGTGCCACTTCTGATTTTCCGGTTAATTGGAGATAAGGATCTCATGGACTTTCTTGCCTGGGCTGGCTTTGAACTGTGGTCCTCAGATCTCAGCCTCCTGAGTAGCTAGGATTACAGGCATGAGCTCCCAGCTTATAATACATCTTTTAATACCATGCCATAGCAATATGTAAAAAGTTTTAAATATTATAATTTTTCATTCACTAAAGAGAAAAAAAGTGCTTTTCTAATTTCTTATTTAAATTTTTTAGGGTCACAAGCCAGTTATGTTGAGAACCCAATATCGCTGTCACCCTGCAATCAGTGCAATTGCTAATGATCTCTTCTATGAAGGAAACCTCCTGAATGGCATTTCTGAGCCAGAGAGGAGCCCTTTATTAGCCTGGCTTCCCACCCTGTGTTTCTACAATGTTCCAGGACTTGAACAGGTAAATGACATTCGTGTTGATGAGAGGCAACATTTAATGTGTTGGTTTAATTTCATTGTTGTTTGTATGATTTCACTCAGTCTTCCAATAGCCATTCCAAGAAATATGATTTAGGATCTGTTTCTTCTTTCAGATGGAAAGAGATAACAGCTTTTATAATGTTGCAGAAGCAGCTTTCACACTCAAGCTAATTCAATCACTGATTGTGAGTGGAATAGCCGGCTGTATGATTGGGGTGATAACATTATACAAATCCCAGATGTACAAGGTTTGCATTACATTTATGACACTTGTCACATATTAAATATAATTACATATTACAGTATTCGGTATTACATTTGTCATAGTTTGAAGTGCTTGGGGAATTGTAACTTCTATACTAACAAAGAAACATTCTGAACATTCTGATATGTTTTTCTGGTCTACATTTTTTTCTGCATAATTAAATGTAAACCTAACAAGGTTTAATTAAATTCAGTATACAGCCATTGAGGCAGAAATGCAAATAAATTACAGGAAGAAAATATATATTTTATGTTTGGGGACAGGTGAGATTTAATCTCTTGTTTTCTAAAATGTTCCTTAATGAATTAAATTTGATTGGTAAATGCAAGGTTACACACCAGATATTAATATATACAAAAGCTCATTACTTTAAGTATAGCTTCCCTTTTAGTAGGTTTTCTTTTTCTACCTATTTAGCTTATTTATCAGCTCAAATCAACGTAAGCTAATGAGTTCTCAAGTAATAGATACATCATCCCTTTTGGTTTTGCTCCATCGTTAATATTGTCATCTCCTCAATTAATTAAATAATTATTGTTATTTTAGTAACCATTTAAGCCTAGGGACTAAACTTTACACCTCCTGGGCTGTATCCCTGTCTTCTTCCCTCCACAGCTTTGTCATTTACTCACCACTGCTGACTTTGACAATCCTGATATAAAAAGTGTACAAGTTTCCACAGTAGATGCTTTTCAGGGAGCTGAAAAGGAGATCATTATTCTGTCTTGCGTACGCACACAACACGTAGGATTCATTGATTCAGAAAAACGAATGAACGTTGCACTGACCAGAGGAAGGAGGCATTTGTTGATTGTGGGAAATTTAACCTGCTTGAGAAAAAATCGACTATGGGTCCGTGTGATCCAACATTGTGAAGGTAAAATAGGAATACATTTATTTCATGCATTTTGAATTAAATCTGCTGGGGGTTGGTTAGTGCTCGGTTGATGTGGGCAGGAGTGGCTCCGGATTTGTCATTGTGTAAGGTGACTGGTATGATCATAACAGGATCAGTATGAGATAAAAGGAAATTTATCTTGCTCTGTGTATTTTTCAGGCAGGGAAGATGGACTGCAGCATGCAAGCCAGTGTGAACCACAGCTGAACCATCTTCTTAAAGACTATTTCGAAAAACAAGCAGAAGAAAAACAGAAGAAAAAGAGCACTAAAGAGAAATGTAAAGAAAAATCTCATTTGCAGACAGTCATGGTCTAGGAATTTTGTATTTATGTAAATTGAGACTAATTTTACACTATATAATTTTATTACTGTAAAACTCTTGATATTGAAAAAATCTTATTCTTATGATAAGTAATGTATTAAATGGACACAACTAAAAATGTTGCACTTCAGAGACGTATATTATACTTACACTGGGCTCCAATGGTTCAAGTCTGTAATCCAGCTACTTAGGAAGCTGAAATCTGGAGGATCGTAGTTTGAAGCCAGAATGGAAGAAAAATCCAGAATACTTCATCTCTAAAATAACCAGCGAGATGTTGATCTGGAGATGTGGTTCCAGTGGTGGAACAAAAGCTGACCACGTCTGAGTCTGGCACCAGGTGGTGGAGTTGGGGGAAGCACCATTTATATTAAGACAGGCCAATATTTTATTTGTAATATAATCTCCTTAGGGATAATCTGTCAAATACAGAAAAATATCCAAAAGAAAACAAAATTATCCAGAAACCCACTCTTTAGGGATAATAATCAATGTATTGTTCTGTTTCTTTTTCTGTATATTCTCCCTATAAATATATAGAGATAGTATTCTTTTGTTTTGGAGTATTTTGGGGCAATATTCAGGGTCTAGCACTTGATAATTTTGTGCTCTACAGTTTTCAGCCTCAGTTTTACTGAGGCTTAAATCAGGGTCTCTCACCATTGCTCAGCTTTTCTGCTCTACTACTTGAACCACGCCTCCACTTCCAGCCCTTTGTTGGTTAATTAAGAGTCTTGCAAGCTGGGCGCCGGTGGCTCATGCCTGTAATCCTAGCTACTCAGGAGGCTGAGATCTGAGGATAGCGGTTCAAAGCCAGCACAGACAGGAAAGTCTGTGAGACTCTTAGCTCCAGTTAATCACCAGAAAACTGGAAGTGTTGCTATGGCTCAACTGGTAGGGCATTCGCCTTGAGCCGAAGAGCTCAGGGACAGCGCCCAGGCCCAAAGTTCAAGCCCTATGACCGACAACGTCCCCCACTCCCCCCCCAAAAAAAAACCCAACAAAAAACAGTCTTGCAAATTTGTCTATCCTAGCTGGCTTAACATGATCATCAGATCTCATTCTCCTAAGAAGCTAGAGTTACAGGTGTGAGCCACAGTGCCTGGCTGATTTTGGCTGGTATACATTTGGTTTTGCTTTTAACTTTTGTTTAATAAGGGAGAGCAAGAGTTTTGTTTGTTTTTTAATTTTTAGGTAGGCATATGCCTGTTTTGTTTCAAATGGCATTATACAGAAAGCATGTCAATTCCACCCTCCTGACAACCCAACTGTTTCTCCCAGTTTCTGACAATAGAACACCTGTTTGAGTCAAATACTTGTCTCTTACATCCATCCTCATAGTTACTTTAATGTAACAAGGAAATGAAAACCTTTTAAACAGGAATGTATTAGATTTATTTTCTTTTTGGCAATCTTGAGATTTTTTAACTAAGGTCTTCAGCCCTGTGTCCAGATCTACAATGAAATCTTTCCATCTGGTGCAATGGTGCATGCCTGTAATCCCAGCACATGAGGCAGGAGATTTGTGATCTCAAGACTAGTCTGGAATAAATAACTAGTTCAAGGCTAACCTGGACCATAAAGCAAGAACCTGCATCCAAAAGATTTTTTTTAATTAAAGGAATTTATACTAAGTATAATTTCTACTAAGTGCTGGTGGCTCACACCTGTAATCCTAGCTGAGATCTGAGAATCAAAGTTTGAAGCCACCCTAAGCAGGAGAGGCCATGAGACTCTTATCTAACCCAGTAAGAACCAGAAGTGGAGCTCAAGTGGTAGGGTGCCAGCCTTGAGCAAAGAAGCTAAGGAACAGTGCCCAGGCCCTGAGTTCAAAGCCAGCACTAAATAATAAAGCCGTGCCTAATGGTTTTTCCTTTTTTCTAATTTATAGAGTAACTGGTTGCTTCTGAGTCAATCCTTTGCATTTCTAGCCTACCTACATAGTCATTTTACATCCGGCATTTTAGAAGTGGAAACATGATAGGTTGTGGGGGCTATGGTAGGTATTCGGGGCTGGGGTTGAAATGTTATAGTCTGGATTCCTTTGCCTTCCCATTCCCTTAGCTCTTGGTGGAGCTTGACATGTCCGGCTATTTGCCCCTGTAGGTGGGCCTGAATTGCAGTGAATATGGTATTTGTGGTTTTGTCTCTGATGGTCATCTCTCAAGTTGGGCAGAAATGGTTTGGATTGATTGGGTCACAGGTGTCATGGCCAGGTGCAGCATCCGTTGTAGGCCTCATTTGTATCTAGGGGTCAGATCTCACCCAGTGCCCTGGCCTCAACCTCTGCCCATTCCAGCAGTCTTCTCTCATCCTTTTTCTACAAGGTTTCTTATGACAGACACAGCGATCCACGTAATCCACCATGATCAATATGAGGCAAGATGGTAGCCAGGCTGATCCAGCTCAAGTTAGGCTACAATAAGCCGGTGTTGTAAGATTTTGTTTATCAAAGGATGAAAGACACTAACATCTGATTATGTTTTGGGGAAGAGAGACAATACTGGAGTTTGAGCCATGGCTTTGTTCTCAGTGGCTCTCTTACTCGAGCCATACTCCCAGCCCTTTTTGCTCTAGTTATTTCTCAGGTAGGGTCCAAGGTTGCCCCAGGCCAACCATGAATGAAGATAATCTGTGTCGCATCTATGGTGGAGCCACAGTGCACACCACCACTGCCCAGCTTATTGTTGAGATGGAGTCTCACTAACATATCGCCTGGGCTGGCTTTAAACCTTGATCTTCTTTCTCTCTACCCATGTGGCTGAGGTTATGAGTTTCTTTGCTCAGTCCTCTCACAAATCCTCTTTGACCCAAACGAATTCAAGTCCTGATAATGTACCTTGGTTAGTTTGGTGTGTAATAATTTATCAACAGTTTGTTTTAATAATCCATATAGAATAGTTTTTATTAGAAAAGAATGAATTCTGAAGGTTTTGAAAGTCTGCATGTACAACTAACTAGTATGCTTAATGCAAGAAAAAATGAAAAAATAAGTATTAATAGTGATTTTTATTTTAATTCTTATAATTAATCAAAATAGGGTAAAATGCCCTATAGATACTAATATATATATATATATATATATATATAGCCCACCTTAGGATCTATAATCTTAAGGTTATGCTTTCAAAATCAAGCACAATTTTGTGGTATTATTTTTATAACTGAACAAAAATCCATTTGATTTGGAGATGCCAGAGCAAACCCCAAATGCTGCATGCTCTTGACTATGGTTTTATTTAAAGACCGCTGTGAAATAGCTTTATACTAATTAGATTTTTTATATTAAATAAGAGTGGACTGGAAATTGGTGATTTACTTGGCAGATATCGAGCCTTGAAAATTAAATAAATGTTCTAAAAACATTAGATCAGCACTGATTTGAAATGTCTGCTTCATAATTACTCATGAGTGAAACAGATGTTTACTTCAAGATGTGTTTTTGGTTTACATTAATATGACTTGATTATAAAGCAAGGGAAAAATACAGCTCAAAATGTCTCTGAAAGCTTCTGAGATCTTTGCAATACTAGTAGGATTTTTTTTAAAGTTTTTCTGCTAGTCTCTACATTATTGCTTTCTTTTGCTATTCTACTTTCTTTTCTTTTCTTTTCTTTTCTTTTGTGGTTGTGGGGCTTGAACTCTGGGCTCGGGCACTGTCCTTGTACTCTTCAGCTCAAGGTGAGTGCTATACCACTTGAACCACAGGTCCACTTCTGGTTTTCTGGTGGTTTATTGGATATAAGAGTCTCACAGACTTTTCTGGCTGGGCTGGCTTTGAATCGTGATTCTCAGATCTCAGCCTCCTGAATAGCTAGGATTACAGCCAGCGCCTGGCCTGCTATTCTACTTTCTAATTAGGCAAATCTCAATGAGGAGTGTGTGTGTGTGTGTGTGCGCGTGTGGCATATGTGTGAAAAGTCAGAAAACGGTCAAAACAGTCAAATTGCAAAAAAAAAAAAGAGCTGAGAGCTTTAAGGAACCTACAGCAAACCTCTTAAGACAGATCGCTCACACACACACACACACACACACACCTAGTTCTTTTCACACCTTAGAATTATGCAGCCCCTAGGCTTCCCTGTGTTATTCTCCTCCATGCAAATCTGCCATTCTTCTGTTCTTCCCTGTCTCACCTGGTCCTCCAGAGAGTTCGCTTCCACACAGATTCCAGAATTAAGAAAGCTAAGGATATAGGAGACTGAGGCGTCAACTGCTTGGTAACATGATAGCCACGTTAGTTCTTAGTTGATCTAGAACACAGATGCTAAAAGTGTGGCTACAGGAACCTGTGTTTACTTCCAGCACACCCTCAAGCTTCTCCCTCAGTAGCCACACTGCCCAGCCTGGCGTGAAGGCCAGGTGGTTCCTGCCCTGTGCCCTGAGCCGGGGTGACCTGTGACATTTGGTATAGATGTTGCACCAGACTATTCTCTAGTTGACACAGGTCTAGGCACAGATTACATGCTCAGTGAGTGTGCTGACTAATTGCACCAGAGAAAGGAGTCCTGTTCCAACAAGGAACCCATAAAAACATAGTACATACAAAATATAACACACTTGATTTTTTTTTTTATGCCAGTCCTGGGACTTGAATTCAGGGCCTGGGCACTGTCCCTGAGCTGCTTTTGCCCAAGGCTAGTGCTCTACCACTTGAGCCACAGCTTCAGTTCCAGATTATTATTTTTTAGTTGTTTGTTAGAGATAAGAATCTCATATACTTTCTTGCCCAGGCTGGCTTCAAACTGTCATCCTCAAATCTGTTTCCTGAGTAACTAGGATTACAGGTGGGAGCCAGCGGCGCCCGGCTCCTTTTAGGTAGCACAGTTCCTATCCAGTATTTCAAATCTAGGCTGATTATATCATTTAGTTACTGTGAATAGTGCTGAGACAAGCAGGAACATACAGGTCGCTAGGTAATGGGGAGCCTTGGGTATGTGCCCCGGAGTGCTAAGGCTGCCTCATGTGAAGTTCTGTTTTTAATTGAGGAACTTCCTTAGTATTTTTGGATTGGTTGAGGAACAGCCTTAATATTTTCCATAGAGGCTAGACTACCATTCCTACCAAGAGAATGGGAAGGAACTTTCTTTTCTATAGCCACACTATCATTTGT